AGAGATGATCTCCAGAAGCATACGCAGCATCTCTACTCCACAGAAACTATTACCAGAAAACACGAAATCGCATGGCCTTCCTCCCGGGGTAAGAATAAATGTGCTCAGCCATCCTTTAGGGCACTAATGACAGCTATTATTGTTTTCCAGCTGACTCTCGGCGTTTCTTTCTCTGCTTTACTTTCAGACTAATAATTAGATTTAAATCCCTGACAGGACTTTTAACCATCACCCCAGGGGGTTCTAGGTTTCTTTACTATTGCTTGAAAAGATTTTATTTTTAAAAAAGCCCCATGAAACTATAAGTAAGTAACACCAAGCAACAGCTTTAAAAAAATCTATTATCTGGTGGAGTCTTCTGAAGAACACAGGCCGCTCTCTCGCTCACCTTGAGGGATGACCCTGATTTTCATCTCCCATTTGAGGAACGAAGATGCCCGGGGTGGGGGGGAGGGGGACCAGAGTGGGGACTCAGAAAACGTTGTCATTGCCCCTGTGTCACTGCCAGGTTCACTTGGACGGGAATTTTGTTCCGTTTTCATTTCACCCCCCCAAATTTGTTTTCTACATCTAGTGAAAACTACTGTGGTAGTTTTGCTTCTCAGGGGAAAAATAAAAAACTGTTCTTAATATGAATAAATTAATCTCTTTGGCCACTGTGCCCGGTTGCTTTGAGCAAGACGTTTTGGGCAAGGTTGTGCATTGCGCTGTTTCCCCACCACAATTTCACTGTCCCTGGACCCCAGGCCGATCTGTGGCAGCGCTAACGTGGCTGTAATTATGGAAAGCAGACTTTCCCTCACTCAGAGGGGGCACTTCAAATCCTGGCAGGAGCAAGACAGAGTCATATAAATAAGTACCTGGCTCAGGTGGAGATGCTGGCCTCATTAACACCTGTTAAGGCCACCGAGTGGCCTCCCAGGGGACTCAGTCAGTTGCCCAGGAAAAAATCTGTTCTGAGGCCTTCTTACCACTTTATATTCTGAATCCTTTGGAGAATCCTAGTTGCTTTTGAGGAGGGAGGCCAAGAGCTTGGTGGTCTCTCTGCTGAGGTTAGTCTACTCATAAAGAAAACAATTCCAGCCAGAAGGCCCAAGGATAAGACTTGCTAACTATTTCATTCAAACCCTTTAGCCAAATGTTTTCCAGGAGATTGTATTTAATACTTTTCCAGGGACACAAATACAAGTATTTATTTCACAAAATGTGAATGCTTTTGGGAAAAAAACTCAACTGAAGAAAATATTTTTGTGCAATTTCAAGCACAATTCTTTCTTTTCGGCAATTAATAAAAGCCCCCAATCTATCAATCAGCTTAAAGCATAAAGAAAAATTCCACAATTTTCTGATAGCTTTCTCTGAACACAGGTGAGAAAAATTGATATCTGCTGATGTTTTCAAATATATTCCTGCATAGGATCCAGAGCAATATTTTCTATTCCATTTAGTAATAGTTGTTGCCAGAACACTCCCTGTTGATAGCTAGGCATATAGCTGAAGATAGAAGATACGGGCTCTATTGAATCCAGGATAATCAGAACTTTAAAAACCCAAGATGTATACCTAACCAATTCAACTGTGAGAATTGAACACTTGATAACATTGTAATAAAGAAAGGTTTTCTGAGGTAACAAATTTATGTATCCTCTCACTTGTAAAAATGAGGTTTATGAGCATTACATTCTAAAAATATCTGGCTGAGCTGCGGGTGGCCCTGCCTGGGGAGTGGCAAGCACTCCTGGAGGAGCTGCCTGGGAGTCGGGGGCGGGGAGTGCTCCACCATGGGGCCCTCACCCATGCAGGGGGCAGCTGTTCCTACCAGTGCTAGGAAAGGAGGGGTAGAAGTGGGCAGAGCAAAGGCTCCAGCACTTCCTGGTTGCCCTCAGCGTGAGAGAGAGATCTTCCCACAGAGTTGAATTACACATATGATGGTTGGTTTCTACACACAAGTTCACTTCACTCATAATACAGCTTAGCTACATAGCCCCCCAAATGTTTGTAATAAAAATGACTAAGAAAGCCTTTATAGATGGACTGAAAGGGCTTAATTACTATTTATTCTAAAAAATAGAGAGTGTCCATGGAGAACATATTCTAAATAAATACACTTAAACTTGGCAAACAATCCACTTATTTAAGATGATGATAAGCTTACAGGTTGTCAGTTTAACCCTGAGGAATTTCGCAGGCAATTCACAGAAAATTAGAAAACAGAATGAGAGGTTTTTTGGGCGTTTTGTTTTGTTTTGTTTTGTTTTGTTTGGAAGGCAAGCAGGTCTATGATCAAAGAGGATTATCTTATGATGAGGATCCCAGGGCCCAGTACCACGCCTTGGTGTTGCAAGGTCGCAAGAGAACAAGAGCAACAGTTTTGAACATCTGCAAACGAGCATGGAGGCCGACACCAGGTTGTTGTGTACAGACTTTCCAGTCATTCCTCTGCAAATTGGACCCCTTACCAAGCATTTCTTAGTGTAAAATTCGGAAAAGGTACCTGCTCTTCCCCGAATGCCTATTATCAGAGCTTGAAAAGCTACTGCGTCCTAGTCAAGTAGCCAAATAAATAAACGACTGCTTGGCAGAGTTCTGATCATTAAGTCCATGGTCACTCCTATGCAGTCTGTAGTGCTGTCTTCAACATTATCCTCAGTCCAATTACCCATAACTCAGGGCTGAACACTTCATTTCCCTCCGATCTGACGGATGGGTCCTTGAGCAGGAAGCTTCCAGGTACGAAGTACACACTGGGCAGAGAGTTCCCGCAGCCTCACTTCTCACACCAAGTGCTGTCAATTGCACTTAAACCACTGCGCTGCAGGTGAAATCATGCCTAACATGGATGGTGGTACCATAACCCATTACTTTCTAAAGGTGTCAAACCTGAAGCCTTGAGCTGGAAAGGTGCCGCACAAAAGACATCCAGTTGCACTTGGAAGCCTCCACCTCCGTGGGAGTTCTAATCAGGTTAAGGAAGGCTCCGTGCCACACGGAACAGCTTTCAGTGCAGGAGGTAGGCCATTAAGTGCTTTCTGAACTCCATTAGTTACTCCTGCTGAGACTGAAAAAGTCCTCATAAATGCATAAAAATTAAATTGCCTATGAGGTGAGGTATGAGATAGGACTTTGCTGCCAAATACAATTTTCTGTTCAAATGGTCTACAACCGCACACACAGTGCAGAGGCAGAGCACGTGCCTGCAAGGCATGAAGCACCGACCGGGAATTCTGCGCCCCAAATCCAATGACATCTCATTGCTGGTGATAAACCCCTGATTTTGCTTCAAGATAATTTCACCTCAGACCCCCAGCACCTCTCCAGATGGGACCCACCGTCTCCATTCCAGACTAGACCCAGGCCTCAGGCCCGTGCAGTTGGAGCAGCAGAGGTGCCTGGCCACCCTGAGGGAGGGAGGCACGTGGCCCAGTCAGAGCACAAGGTGCCATCTGGCGTGGGTGGGACGGCTGAGAAAGGGAGATGCACTCCTTTTTTTCCCTTTCTTTTTTAAGAACCCTCACTTGAGGATATTTCTTACTGATTTTACGGAGAGAGGAAGGGAGAGAAAGAGGGAGAGATATAGGGGACCATTGCAAGTGGCGTGGGAAATGTAGCCCAGTCCTCACTCGGAAAGGCCAGTGGGGAGCGAGGTCCAGCACATAGGACCCACGCCCATGGATAGGTTCTCCCTTGGGCAATCAGGCCTGCATTGTACCTGGGCTGCTATGAAGCTTGCTTTTTGCTAAAATTCCCTCACCTTCAGTTGAAATTGCAGATGTTTAATGTATATCTCTGAAGCAACTCCCTAAAGTCTGTGCTAAGCCATCCCAAGGATGGAATATAACCAGATCAATCACTTTGATCATTTCCTTGCATTTGCAACATTTTTTCCCCCTTGTTATCTGTAAGAAGTAATCACTTAAAGTAAATCCAAGTATAATGAATGAGAACCTTCTTTGATGTAATGCTGCTGGAAAGCAATAAAAGCTTGTCCAGGTTGAGGGTCGAGGCCCTCTCTCACTCAGAGAGTGGCCGTGCCATCCATTTTCTCCACAGGACTTCTGCAGTCCGTGTGAATTTGTTTGTCGCATCCACAACACATGGATCCCATGGGCCGGAGTCTGCATCAGAGAGAGAAACATTGAGTGGTTGCCCCCCATACATACCCTGACGGGGGACGGGAGATTGAACCAGCATCCTAGGCATGTGCTCTGACTGGGAATTGAACCCACAACCTTTTGGTGCATGGGATAACACTGCAAACAATTGAGCCACCTGGCCAGGGCAGAGATGCAGTCTTTTTGCTCCCCTCTGCTCTCCCTGAGCTTGGAAGAAGGTGGGTCTGGGACTGCAGTCAGCCCTTTGCCCTCACACGGAATCTGGGCAGGCAGGCAGGCAACAGGGAGGAGAGGAAAGCTGAAGGGTGGTGAGACACTGGTCCTTCTGACACTGTTTTGGGCCCAGTGATACAGAATTTGGAATCCAGTCATACGTCTAAATTTTCAGTTAGGTTTGCCAATAAATCCCATTTTTCTTAAGTTTAGGTTTTCTTTCACTTGCAATCAAAATAGTCCAATTGACAGCCAACAAAAATGGAGAATTGTTTTAATTTACAGTTCGGTTTTGGAAGAGGCCTATCTCATTCTACAGATGAGGAGGGACACTGAGATGCAGGTGGGTGCCTTGCCTTACCTGCTGAGGTCCGCTGCCAGTTCGTAGCAGAGCCGGGATAGAGCCCGGGTCTCTTACTTTCTCACGTGATGTCTGCACTACACAGTGGGAAAAATTAATACACGGGACTTGTTTAAAACTTTTAATTAAAACTGTGCTCCAGTTAAAAGTTTACTTATCGTACATTATACTTTAAAAAAGAATGTATATATTGATATTTTAAGTCATCCTTCCCATTGTTACCTAGGATATAAACTTGAAAGTACAGCAATAGACAACATTTCTCAGGGATGTGCTGTGGTCTGCTGCAGTAGCAATAGAAATAGCCCAACAAAATAGCTTAAAATGTTTTATTAAGTATATGTAATATTACAGGGTAATATTTACAAAGTTATGTTTTTTAAATAAAAAATTACCTTGGCAAAGATTGCAGATATTCAAAGCTTCAACAGTGATAAATTGATTTAATACATATTTAAAAAAAAAAACCTTTAACGGTAACACAGCTGTAAAACAACTTTGGTCTTTAAATCACTGCAAAAATGGCTACCGACAAATAGCACACCTTTCATTGCTATGGAAAAAGCCTCCAACAGAGGATCTTGCACATAGCAACACCGGAGTTCTCTTTACTTAGAATGGTTAATGGATATTCATCTGGTGTGGGATATAATTTCCAACAATGGCTTTTTGTAAATAATTCTCCATTTAGTAAGAACAAAAACGTTTCACTCTCTCATCTACCCTGATAACAACATGTCTAAGATTCCACTGATGTTGCCTTACAGAGAAGTGTATTACAAATGCTCTTTTTTTTTTAAGGGCTAAATTTTGGAAAAACTGGTCTTAAATGATAAGAGCTGTCAAAAACCAAACACAAGAAAACTGCCTGTTCACTGCTCGTCTCTTGAAAGTTACCTGGACTGTTCCTATTAGCCACGGAAAATGACTTGATGAAGGACCCCAGTGGCTGATGGCAGTTAGTGATTTTGAAAACGTGACACATGTAAAACTGTTTCCGAACATCCTCTCCATCAAATAAAACACAATGAAAAGATAAGGGTTGCCCAACAATTTCTCTAGTTTCCAAGGACAGGTAAACAGAGGGGTATGTATTTCCATACATAACGCCACAGATGTCCATTTTTGAACACTCATTTTAGGACGAGAGAAATCTAGACGGTGATACAGAGCATAATTCTTACCAATGAGATGAAAGTGTAAACTTATCACTTTTGAGCTTTATTAGTCAAACCACAATTTGGTCACTTACTAAACTGACTACAGCATCCTGAAAAAAGCAATGTTCCTAATTATGGGACAGCCTCAATATTTTCATTCTGACATCCTCAGAAATTTAAACAATAAAGCTGGAGCTTCCAGGTGAAAAATCATCGCCTTTGAAGGTTTTCACAGCATGTGAAATTTGTCAAAAAAGAAAACTCTCTAGCTCACCCTATTAAAAAACAGTGGAAAAATCTACATACAGCTCTCAATCATCAAACATATACTGAATATCTAATGTAGGCAAAACACTGCAGGAAGAGAAAGGAAGGGGGAAAAAAAGCTCTTGCTGTGAAGGAATTTTCAACTGAGAAAAGTAAGACAAACTGAGAGAGCTAAGCAGAGACACATGAAGTCCTGGGAAAGGCAAGTGAGGATGCAAGAGGCAGGTAGGCAGATGGGGACAGACTGCAAAGGGGAGTCCATGGGGAAGGAAGGGCTGGAGGATGTTTCGAGGCAGAGGGGAAATTTGATTTGGCCAGAAAGGTTGATAAGGTTGTTGCAAAAATGACAAATGGCATCACTCTGAGGACATGCAATAAATAAAACTGAACAAAAGAGTCAAGGGCAAAAATTGCATCAGTGAGTAAAAATCAGATTATAGGAGGAACACATATATGATACCCAAAGCATTGTTAGCAATTTTCATTACATGTGACAGAAAATTGGGAGCCATTACAAGTCTGTTCGAAAGAGAATGAACTGGCCCAATGATGCCCAGGCAAGAGGGTTTCTGCTGCTGTGGCCCCTTTTCCAGGGCAGCTGACAACTAGTAAGAGCAAGAGTTGATTTCATCTGGCCTTTCTCCTGCTACCTTGCTGCGTTGTCAAGGGCAGTGAGCGCCTCAAAGGATAGGCAGCATCAAAGAGAACACAGAGGTCGGGTAAGTCCCAAGACTGAGCCCCCAATGAAGGAGAGTTTACTTTGTATTAAAAGGTATGATGTTAGTTTATTAAAAAGTTTACTAGAAACATTTTCATACCTGACTTTTTCTTAAGAGAGAATAGGAATTTGGATCTTTTTCAAGTCCATCGGTTTTTTTTCCTCCTTTCATCAAAATTGATTTCCAAAGTAACAAATGATATTACTAAAATATAAATATTTTCAGAAGAAAAAAGAGCAGCAGGAGCCATGAGATCTGTATAAAGGAATACAGCTCCCTCTACATATGGTAATATTTTGGAAAGCAACACAATTAGGGAAAAATTTTTTTGTTGTTGTTGTTTTCAAGAAGAACTGTCTTCATAGTGTGTTCAGTTTTCTGAGAGACATCAGCAGGTCATAAATTTTGGTTTGCCATGGGCAAACCACTTGGTCCCAACATGAAGAATGACGATTAATTTGGCATAAAAGAGGCACACAAGGACATTTAGTGGACTAAGAAATAACTATTTGTAACACAACTACAAATATAAATGTCTTATTATTACACAAACAGGAAGAATCACTAGTATTTTTAGACAGGATTGGTGAGCAGTCAAAAGACTTGGCAAATTCCCTAGAAATTTTGAAAGTTTTACGTGACCAAATATTTGCGTCAAATATAATCCCACCCAACAAAGATCTTTGTTTCTCAATGTTTTGCTAAGAGCGTGAATTAACATTTGCTCTCCTGCAGGTACCCCACTGCTGTCCACACGGAAGACGCATGTGCCCACCTCATACATGTGCACACAGAAACACACACCCACAAAGGAGAAAAACGAGTGCTAATAATCTAAAAGTACTCCAGGCAATCACAACTGTCAGAATGTTAATTTTCTTCTAATGGGGTAAAAAATATGGGGGTTTATGTTTTCTTTTTCAATCTCAGAGTCAGGGGGATACGAGGCAGGACTACAGGAGGAAGATGATGAGTGTTTATCATGCAACAGAGATACAACAGCAATAAAACCACCCTCTCGAGGGCTGGCCCATGGGCCTGACAGTGACACACAGTATGTTGCCATGCAGGAGACACATAGTTAAAACCTCAACCTTGGTTTTTCATGCCCCAGATCAGAAAAGAAGTGAAGAAACACCGTAGATTGTGCCTTCGAATCCGAGGAAGGGAATACATATGTTACAACCATCGCTATTTTTGCTGACAAGTGTGAACATAATTCTCTGAGAACAAGTCTGGCTCCTTTCTGCAATGATGCTACCATGTCTCTGGACCATGTTCAAAGAAGAGAAAAGGTGCTACATCTTGTACAGCAGAAGCAAACAACAGGAGGACAAGACAGGGTTTAAAGGGTTGTGTGAATAAAAGAAAAAGACATCCATCAATAAAACTACCCTAAATCTGGAAAGGATCTGTTACATTGTACATTGAAGAATATGTGAACGGCAACCCCCAAGAATGAGGAGCATAATCTCCATCAACAGCACATTTCACGTCAGCAGCGCACAAAATGCTTCCAGCCCAAGTCCTGTCTGGACTTAATTTGCTATTCCCTTGATCCAGAAGTGGCAGACACATTATTCAGTTAACATTGTAACTGCCAATGTGGCTATAAACCTGAGTTTGCTGAAGTCTGATGGAAGCCCCTGTTTTTCAGCAATATCTCTGGGTAACGACAAGATTAATGCCAGGTAATTCTCAAGTTGAACCAATTTAAACTGGTGACCTAGAGTCAAAAGGTCCTAGGATCTGAAAGTCATCATTCTTGGAAGTTGCCCACTCTATTTTTGCCCCTGATTAAAGAAAAATAAAAATTAAAAATTGGATCTCAATTGGGCACACGACACATCATAATTCTTTTATTAACTAAATCACAAATGCTTTGAATAAAAACTTAACTGGAGTAACCACTCAAAAGTCAATGATTTACTTTTTATTAAAGATGAAAGTCATCTTCTCTTGCAGAGTGAGCGAATCAAGGCCGTGGTGCTTAAACACGAGTGCATTCTTTTCATGTCTTACTACTCTCCAAATCTGAGTCCATCACTTCAGTTCAGCTACTCTGAAAAATGGAAAAATGAACATTTAATTACTATTCGTGTCTCTGTTCTATGCATTAACAAGTTAAAGATTTGGAGTTGTTTGAGGTATATGATATCTAAAAATAAAGACAAGGTATTTAATCTTAGATTTGCAAAGGTCACAGATATAAAGCAGGCAAGCCATTAGCCTTTTTGGTCGCAGTAAGTAAAAGGGCAGTGCCAAATGAAAATAAAGATCAACCAAGTCTGGTCATTTCCATTTGCTGGATTAGCTGAGGAGAAGCCAAGAGGTGTTAATTTTTCAAAGCAGAAGATATTGGTCGTAGATTAATATTCCATCACATTCACTTTGGGTCTACATCATTCATTTAACATAAGTGAAACAAACATGTGATTAGGTATAAGTGAAAGAGAAAACGGCACCATGACCCCGGAGGGTACTCTGAACCTCGCCCATGGACCAGGCAACCACACTGTGGGCATCGAGCAGTTAGTTGTCAGCTGGAAAATCCCACCAGACAGACATTTAAAAATAGCCGGCAAATTCTGAACAGCGAAATATTAGTAAAATTAAAGACATTTCAAAGGTCACGATAGATTTTACATGTTATGAACGAACAAACACTGCTGTATCTCCTGATACAGTGGATCAAAAACAGTCACATCTTAAGGGAACTTAACAAAGGAAGAGGTATTCAAGGTGCTTATACTGATTTTCTGACAATAGGGAAAAAGACTCCAGTTTCTCTGTACCATACAGAAGAATGACTCCACAGCAGAAAAAAGGAAAGAACAAAATAAGACTTAAAAACAGAATACCAGAATAAAAAGATGAACAAACCATGCTACAGTTCTAGGCCCCAGTTCTTTTTTCAAATACCATTTAATTTATTCCTATGAACCACGATTTTTTGCAGGGCCGTGGTTAGCACAGTAAAACATGCATTTGTAATAAAGGCTGTGACACAAACCTACAGAAGTGGGGTCCTTCTGTGCTTCCTGGCTGAACGCAGCCTCAGCATTGTTTTAGACTTAACCCACCAACCCACAATCAGTGTTGTTGTACTCTTATGCCAACGTTAACTGTACTCAGGGGAGTACAGCTTCTCGAGTTCAATGCTGCCCTCTGCTACAGAGGTGAGCAGGTAGGTCACAGACTTTAAAACAGTAAAATGGAAAGCAAACTGTTTACATGATCAAGGCATGACTGTAAACATCACAGGTATGAAGACATTTTTGATAAGACAAAAACAGAGCTGAAGTATCATAGCATGTTAAGGTAAAATTAAAAATGAACACCTCTAGTATTCAATATCTCTGACTTCTTTAAGAACAAATGTATGTCTTTGAAATACTTAATAAAAACTTTAAGTTGTTAGCCTAGAGTCCCCCCAAAGAAGCAAAAGCTGGAGTGATTGAACATTTTTCTCTCTGTCTCTTTAAATCCTCTCCCAAAAGGTTAGACCCAAGTTCCTTTGTGGAAAAGCAGAGATATTAAGCCTCCATGGATTATATGAAACAAAATCACCAACACAAGCACAAAAGAAACTCTGTCAAGATTATAAAGATTTGTGTCAGGTTATCTGTGTCATATAAAACCCAGTGATTTTTAAATGTAACTTTTAAATCTGGTGATTTTAAAGTTACAGTCACCAGACACTGCATCTAAAATACTGTTTTTAAAAAGCGGTAATTTCTCTTTGCTATGAGCAACGTGACTGACAGCCTGGTCAGTGGCATCCTACAGCTTTTCCATCACTGTTTTCCAGTTTCAAAAGAGTAGATTTAAGTTTTGTAAATCAAGAAATGTAAACCTTTATGATTTGACAGTGTCCCTTTTATTTAAAAAGCCGTGTTTTCAAGAAGCTGTTTTATTTCTTTTCAGTGTCCATATTTTAAGCAGTCTACAACTGTAGGTGCATGTTACACTTACCATCATTCATCATTCCCTTTGATTCTTTAAATGCTAAGAATTAGTAACAAGCCAAACAAGCAATTAGTAAGGTTCCACAATTAAAAATCATTTGTAAATAAACAAATATGCAGTAATATCATGCCAACTATTCCACAGCTGTAAATCCACATTGACTGTAAGGCATCTGATGACAATGCCTTTCTGTGGACCCTGCCCAGAGCCCCCACCGCGGACACACAGTCAGTGGAGAATACAGATCTAGACTTAGGGAGAAAGAAAGGGAAATGTTTTGGCCTCACTCCAAGGTGATAGACTGTATCATTCTAAATTTATAAATCAGAGATAAAAATCCATGGAGGTTTTTCTGGGCTGGGGTGCTACACTTCACCACGGCCAGTATAAAAAGGCAACAGCCCCTCGCCAAGCCTCACTGACCAGTGCATACAGCTACTTGCGAGGCATGGAACAGTGTGCTTTCCTCAGCGGTGAGGACATTACAAAAGTAGCACTGCTAATTCTTGATTAATAATCAGAAAAGAGGCCAAGGCTGGGGAAAAAAACCAGATTCTTCCCAAGACATACACAGAATATTCTAACTGATTTGGGGACCAGTTCAAATTATGACCTGGTAACAGATGAAGAAAAATATACAAGTTTATAATAACCACATACCATTAAGGGGTTCCTCTACAGCTTTCTGGAAAATATTTAAAATATATTTATATAAAAATAGAATATATTTCATATCCTTCATACTGAAATTTACATAAGCTAACGTTTAAACTATAGTAACCAGTGAATCCTATAGTCCAAAAACAAGTCATTAAAGGTTAAACGCAAAGCTTGCCAAGTCCCACTAATAGTTTAATAATAACTATACCATTCCCTTAACATTCATTTTCTATGCAAAATTTCCCACTCCACCCAGCCTCTCTCAATTCAAGAAATCTTAACTTCTCAAAAAAATTATTAAAGTCCAAAATAAACAGCAACATAAGCAATACAGTTAAACAAGAAACAAGAGCAAAATAATCATTTTTAAGTCATGCAAATTAAACGCAGTGACAGGGAGAGAGGACGTGTTAGGATTTAAAGGTCTGGTCGGCTGGCGGGATTATCTCTAATGGAGGCACGTGAAAAACTGCTGTGTGTTTGTGACTGACGTAGCCACCGCACCAATCTCTTCAGAACAAATACCCGTGGCAGACACACCCCTTCTCTCCCTGGCTTGTCGGGTTTGTCGGCTGAGACTTATCACATTGAGGAGCATATGTAATCTCCACTTCCCGCCACACACACTTTTGGCATTCCCAATACAGCTATCGTTAAATCCTTTATAGGAATATGAGTATAACATAACACTTTCCAGGTTTTATTTGCATAAAGTAGCTCTTGCGCCTGTCACCACAACAAATCTCTATTTCTAAAAGTTCTTTTTTAACCCTCTCATTTATTCCTCTCAGTTTATCTCCTAAATTTACTCCTTTTGTTGGAATTTTCTCAGGTAGCTTAATGTATCCAAGCTATAGTGAAAACTACAGTACAGTTTAGAGGAAGAAAAATTATCATAAAATGAGGTAAGGAGGGAAATAAATCATAATTCAGAATAGGTATTTTAAAGTAATATTTACATTTATTTTATAGATTATTATTTTAATAAAATCAACTTGATATAAATTTCTCCCTCATTTGAAGCCTGAATACTGTTTTGTGAATGCACATGGAATAAATCCGACAGGTGAGGCCCTGTATTGGAGCTTTCCTTCAGCAGAGTAAGGACCATTATTTCTACACATAAACTTTCCAGTTCTGGCTATGAGAAGTTAGCATAATCTTAAGGAATCATTTATTCTATCCCATTGCTACTAAATGACCAAACATTTAAAAGTAGAATTAGATCTATTTGTGCAAAGGTCATGAAATGACTTCAATGTGTTCTCAGTTGTATGTTACACTAAACAGCAAAAGGGCTCAGCATCTCAATCCTCTTTCCTCAGTCTAAATCATCAAGTGATCAGACCCAATTCATTTAAGAAATTTTAACTTACCCTAGGAGGTTGTATAGTCCTCTGATCAGAAGCTGGTAAAATTAAAAAATAAGAAAATGAACGGAATAAGTGAAAGCAATTAGAACAATGCAATGCACTGTTTAATTTTAAAATAAAATGTTCAGGCTGAAACTAGAGGTGCCAGAAAGTCCACTGAAAGAGTTCCAGTTTTGACAGTCTATTAAAAAATACAGAACATTCCTGATTATATGAACTGATAGAACAAAATAATGCAAATGATCTGCCTCCATCAAATAAAATAAACATATACATTCACTCGTTTGCACATGCCACAACTTCCCCACTCTGTGGTGGAAAAAGGCTGCCATCCACTCACACCGCTGTCAACTCTACATCCCTCCCTACCAAGTGGACAGAATGTGACAATGACCAGTTTCTGCCTCTACTCCACCTCCCACCCTTCGCTCACTGCTCTTGTTCCTTGAAGCCTAGTCTTCTTTTTTCTTTCTTTCAAGTTTCCAAAGCTCCAGATAGCTACAATGATAGAAAATATTCAGATCCCTCTGAGTTTAAAGAATTATTCTAGACAAGTAGTTTTAGCTGCAGTCAGGCCCTTCTCTATGTGTTCGTTCTTAGCTTACCCTTCACTGTTTCTGAATGTATTGACTGGTTCACGAAGACGAAGGAAGAAAGTGACGAAACGAAAAAGAATTGCTCTAGTTGCGTGGAGAGCAGAACACTTTCTTACAAAAACTAAGTGACAAGGACCCAGAGCAACTAAAACCAGTCCTAAATACAGAATCAGTCCTATAGACATGAAAGCAGCAACCAGCAGCAACACCCTGAGAATGACTCTAGGAGGGCAACGCTACTGGTTAGTGAATTCCACTGCTCTCTGAATTGGATGATAGTACTGGATTTGTGTTTTAGCAGATTGAGGCAGGCCCCAGAACTGCTCTAGTTTTCTATGTTACTCATTTACTATCCCTCCATACCTGCTTTATGAAGCTCCCAAAGCTAATGGGAGATGGGGGTGAATGAGAACCGACCCAAAGGCAGCCACTCTACAGGCGAACCAGAAGCTGACAAGCCTCTGAAACAGGGAAAATGGCAACCAACTGGCCTGGAAAGTTTCTTTCCAGGAAATCTGAAGGGAGAGAGATAGAATGATGACTAGAAAGTTGCTGATGGTAAAGGAAGGTGATAAAGAAAGTAAGCAAGGAAAAGCTCAGAGCTTAGAGCTCCAGGTAAGAAAAGCTAGCAGTGAGAAGACGTAAATTGGATGCAAGTAAGGACATACAAAGAGAGGATGGGCTAGTTGGCTAGTAGGTGAAGAACCACAGAGAGAGGAACTAAGTAACTGTACACTGAGGAAGGATTAACTGACTCTTGTCCCACAGAGGGCTACATGATGACTCAGACCTTTGAAACCACTTCCAATTCCTAAACTATTTACTGTTCCACTCTCTGTGAGGCCCAGTTATGTAGGAGGGGGGGGGGACCCAAAAAAACCCTGGGACTATCTTCTGGAAGGTGGGCTCCTTGTAATACAGGCTTTCCCCTCTAGGCGAGTATTCTAGGAACCCGCTGTTATCATGTACCAGCTGGCGTAGTTGTGAAAGCCTGCGTTTGGCTTCAGTGAAATTTTTTTGAAGATTCTTTCAAAGTGTTTGCCCATTTCATGAAGGTGATTTACCAGCGTACCTGCCCACACTGCACTGAGTGTTTAGCAGTTTTTGACCAGAAAGGGCATGACTCTCATGCCCCACCCTGACTATTTACCAGATCTTGCCTTGAGGAACTCTTTTTTTTTGTTTCCCCAATGTAAAAAGCCCTCAGAGAGAAAAGTTTTGCCGATTCAGAAGAAGTGAAACAAAAAATGGCAGAAGCACTAAAAGGCATCAAAATTGATGAGTTCAAAAACTGTTCTGAGCAGTGGAAAAAACATCTCAATACATGTATTGCACCTAATAGAGAGTACTTTGAAAGTGACTAAACTTTATATATATCAGAATAAATACATAGTTTTTACTATAAATTCCGGGCACTTTGGGTCCCCCCTCATATCTGCTCTCACGAGATTCCTATCTCTGTTACTATCACGTGTGGAGTGACAGTAACACTCCCTTATTGGAAGCACAGGGAGAGTGGTTTGGTCCTTGCAACCAAAGAAGAAGAAGAAAGCTTTTCAAAGCACTATGGAGTGAAATGGGTTTGGGAATATGAGTGAATTCACATTTAGCAAACTTCCAAATAAACCAGGCAGAATTATAGAACCTTATTAGGCGCTCTCATGACTGTTACATGTATAAATAACTCACTTCAACTAAGCCATGCCCTCTATCTGTGTTCTGTCCAGAAAACAAAGAACCGAACAGCTATATAAACTACTGACTGGTAATGTGAAGAATCAGACGTAAGATTTTAGAGTTAAATTTTTGAGCTCAGAAATTTATTCATCACAATTAGTACTAAGAACTAACTGCCAAGTAGCTCCTTTTCTATCCTAATGACTTGTAAAGAATAGTTTGTGCGTTCCCATTCTCAGGCACGGGAATGTCACATTTAGCTGGCCAATTCTGAAAAAAAGATCTACAAAGAACAGTGGCTCAAAGGGACACAGATCAGCTGGGATCCCTTTAATATTATGTAACCAACCCGTGCAGAAGTTAATTTCACTGGACTTAATCCTCTCTAATAAGCATACGACCTATGTAACAAAAGAACGATTGTGATTTATCTGCTGCCACTGGGGGCCTAAGGCACTGGCAGCCATAGCTACGTATTTTTAAAACCTCGAAGCCTTAAGCATTTCATATGAGCTCACTTGCAATGTTTCTTGATTTGTTCTTCTCCCCCTGAAATGCCTGACACATGCCATAAATATATTAATATTCTCAGAGTTTGAACTTTCAGGAATACTTTTTTCTATTGATACCAAATGCACCTCTCCTCAACAATGGGCAGGAAAATATCACTAATTTACATACATATTCCATGTCATTCTAATATATTTGAGATGTGGTAAATATGCTTTCTGACCACTAGTAGGTTGATTTGTATCAAAACGTGATTATATGTACTTATAGTGGTAATGGCTTTAAAAATTAACAAGTATATAAACACCCTATATAAATAGCAAGCTTAACTTTATCACGTTTAGTTAGTTCCTTTTAACTTCCTATATGCTCTCCCATTGTTATTGTCCCCAGACCCTAATTTCCTTTCATAAAATTTAAGTGTTTCCATTAAAAAGATATCTAACATAATTAAAAGCCCAGAAAAAAATGAAAGTTAAAATCTTACTCTTTAAAGTAACAAGTAAGGCCACAAATTTAAACTTGGAAATAATGAAAATGATAAAAATTAAACCTCTCATTGGGACATTAATTTAATCTTAAAAAATAGCCTGGATTTTTTAAAAAACTGTCTGAGGGTTTTATTGCATTTAAGTCGAGACACATTTATTAGGCTTTTCCAAAGCAGAGCATCTGCAAAGAGTAAAAGTTATTTTGGAAACATTTATAATTTTACTTCCTGATTTGAGTGCTCAAATTTGCAACCTTAATGTTACATATAGTCAGATTTACAGATTACCTAAGAAAAATACATCCATTCTCCCAGCCTAGTACAGTATCCAGAGAGCAACTTTCCTGTACCTTTTCTCTTCTCGCCCTTCAATTGAGGGAAGGTGTGCCTCTGAACTCTAGTATCAGACAAGTTGATTTGAAAAGTTAATTTAGATTATCATCATCATGTCAATAAAACTGGACTAAATTCTTAACTTACAATAGGTATATTTATATGTTAAACTATGATAAAAATAACCTGGGGAAATTTTCATCATTTCACTTTCACTTTGATTTTAATGTGAGAACAGTGTGTTCGTAACACACTGTTACGTAATACTGGTTCCACAGGCTTCTGAGGGGTGCCAGCAATGGAGAAGATGGAGAGCAAGGTCAAGGGGGTGGCAGCTAGACAATGCCTATCTCCGCTTGAGTCAGCATCTCCAGACCTACTGGCAACTACTGAACATCGTTCTTTGTTACACATGGAAGACATGGTGGAGCACAGCAATGACAGGGAGAGCAAGCCAGATGATAAGGGAAGAAAGAAAAAGGATCTGACCATCAGTCAGGGACACTGAATGCTACAGAATGTCATATGGATACTGTAGCTCATGTACTGTTCTCAGGCACTCATAGGGAGCGACATAATCAGCAGTGTCATCTTCAAGAACCAGACAAATGGTGATTGGACGAACCAACAAAAACAGAATATGTATCAACATTCACAATGTGATGCTCACGATAGCTACCAAATGAATGCCACTATGCTTTAAAAGACTTAAATGTGCTTTTAAGATTTAGGAGGCATGAACCCAGAAAATTTCACTGATGAAAAAACTGTGAGTTTATGAACACATAAACTAAAATAGGTACATTTAAGTATTGTATTTTAATTGTTTAATAAGCATTAATTAAAGGGAGACAAAGAATATGTAACAGAATTGAATTCAATAATCAGCCAGCAAAACCCGAAGTTCAAAAATAAAGATAGAATTTCTTTGAAAGTACTGTGCAAGTCATATGGAACATTATTTGACTATGTGGAATTGTTAAATGCAAAGATTATCTGAAGTTAACAATTCAAGGTTTGTATGAATTTTTAGAAACATACAGTTAAGTTCACTTAAAGCAAAGACTGATTTTTTTACTCCATTAGTTTGTAACTTTTGACTATTTTACTAGGGGGTTAAGAGTTTGCTTTACTTCATAAATTTAAAAAAGCTTTTTTAAGGGATACAAATACAAACCAGATTGTAGGAAACATCCTTAGGCACTAATAAAAGCAGTTATCTCTATATATGTATTAAAAATAACTTAACAGAAAGCTGTCAACCGCTAATTGGCAGATTAAATATGAAGTTTAGAAACAAAAAGCTAATTCCACACTTAGTAACAACTGATATTAAAAGTAAAAAAGCCTAAATTTTAAAATTCATATTTTAAAGTCAAGTATCAGAGGACACTGCTCTTTAATTAGCAAAAATGACAGATTTTGAATTTCAATTCCTGTCCACTTATGGGTGTCGAGGTCTATAAACAATCGGCAGGAAGAATAAGTGACAAACAGACCTCTGAGAGAGAGTGCAGTCATAAAGAATGGGCCGATTAAAAATCTTTTCTACTTATTAAAATGAATCCTCAACCAGCTCTCCTTTTCCATAATATAAAAAGGTTTATACATTCTAAAACACAAAGTCATTTTCTTTTAAAATAGTCTATAACCTAAACTTTTTCATTTATTCATATGATTTCTACCCTCTTTCATGAGTTACCAATACATTTCTTTGATCCTAACTTGAGAACCAACCAAAAAGCGTTTCCTAGTTACACAGGGTGGGGCACAGTAGGTTTACAGTTGTTCATATGGAAAATAATAGAATAGTTAGTAAATCATAATACAAGAATAAACTCTATTTCACATATACTTACAACTGTAAACCTACTTTTGCCTCACCCTGTATATCTGAAATCTTAGCATAGACTACCAAAAATAAAATTAACTTACCATTGAATTTCATATAAACTAGTCCAAGTAACTCTGCTAAAGCTACAACACCCAAACCTGAAATCAGAAGAGGGCCGTGCACTGGGGAACATGCTGTAAAACAAATAAAATCTTACATTAGAAATTCATGTGAAATAATTGAACTTCTTAAAAGAAACAATAAAAATAATAAAATCAAGTTTTAAGGAAAATAATGATTTTTCTCATTATCAAGAAACACTATTTACCTATATATATGTTCATCCATTCTTCACTCAGTGAAATAACTCTAATTTTATTTTTTTATCTGCAAGTGACTCATTTTATTTTTTATTAAAATAAAAAACTCCTTGTTTGCATAAGGTGTACCTTATATGAGGACTAATGAAAGATGGTCTGTAAGGCCTAAGCCTCCAACCATTTGTAGCCTGGTTATTTTAAAAGCTCTCTTATGATTCCAAGCAGTTTGGTGGCAAGAACGATGAGCCCATAAGCCATATATAGCCAATGTGGAAAGCACTGATCTCAGTGGAGGCGAAATGAGAGTTTAAAATAAAACCTCACAACACTCAGTGCTGACAAGAATGCAGAGCAACAGAAATGTCCATTCGTTGCTGGTAAGAAAACAAAATGGTTAGAGCCACTGTGGAAGACAGTTTGGTAATTTGTTGCAAAACTAAATATACTCTTAACATACAATCTAGCAATTGCACTCTGTAGTATCTATCCCAATGAAGTTCAAAATTATATCCACACAAAACACGCACTTCTATATTGTGTGTCTAGATCTGTGATTTTAGAACACATCAATACCTTTCCAAAGTACTGAAAGCAACCAAGATGTCCCTCAACAGGTGAATGGATAAACAAACTACAGTCCATTCACACAACAAAGTATTACTCAGTGCTAAAAGGAGGTAAGTTATCAAGCCACAAAAAGACATGGAGGAACCTTAATGCATACTAGTAAGGGAAAGAAGTCAATCTGAAAAGCCTAGATATTACATGATTCCAAGTATAAGGTGTTTTGGAAAATGCAAAACTATAGAGGCAGTAGAAAGATCAGTGGTTGCCAGGGTTTTCAGGATAGAGAGGATGAACAGGCAGAGCACAGAGGATTTTTAGGGCAGTTAAACTTTTCTGTATGATATTCTATGACTATGATCCATGTCATTACACATTTACCAAAATCACAGAACATACAACACCAGAGTAGACCCTAATATAAACTACAGACTTCGGGTGATAATGCTATGGCAATGTTGGTTCAACACACTGTAACACATGTACCACTCTGGTGGGGGGTGTTGATCATGGAGGAGGCTGTGAGTATATGGGGTACAGAGGAACTCTCTGTATTTTCCATTCAATTTGCTGTGAACCTCAAATGCTCTAAAAAAGTAAAATCTATTTTAAAAAAAAAAGAAAAAGAAAAAGAAAGTTCTGTGTAAGAGAAAGTTCTAGTAAGAAGAGAAATTGGGACTAGAGAAGAATGGGACCCTTACCTGAGACACAAAGGCTTAGTCCAACCACAGAGAGCACAAAGCCCAGCAGCTGAATGACCAGTATGGCAATGCTGAAGGAGGACAGCCCAACAGCTGGACCTTTGAGGAAAAAGCACGTTGAGAGTGTTTAAGAAGCAATCACTTTGACTTGTATTTTGTACAATCAAGGCTAGTATGGTATGACCAAAGACTGGCTCTAAAGTTCCTTGTCAGATAGTAGATGCTTTCCCAGTGATCTAAACCTAACATTCTACCCAAGCAGTCAGCTCCAGATTCACACACTCAGCAGCCTTTCATTTTTGCAGTGAGCTGAGCCAGACTGGCAGTTTTCACCTAGAATCTTAGAACAATGCTGCTTTTAGCGCACTCGTGCGTTTTACAGTGTGAATGGCTATTATGCAGGGCTCTGCCACATGCACACAGAACTGCCCTGGTGGAGGGCCATTATGCAAGCATGTCATTGTAAACACCACAGCCTCTATATTTGGGTCTAGATCTGTGTTCGTATAATGAATTAATACCCTTCAATGTACAGCAACCCAGAGAGAGACTCTAAGACCAGGAGTTAAATGTGCAAATAGAAAAAAATAGATTCTTTGATAGTAACAAAAATATTCAGTGATTTACTCCCAAAATGTAGTGAAAATGGTACCAATTATAGGTTGGAGATTATATATATTCTTTTAAAACTACAATGTTAAGATTTTCTAATAACTAAAAAATATATATATTTTTTCACTCTATAATTTATAACTCTATAATTCTATTTTGCAGAACTACTTTTTTTTTTTAAAGTGAGGCTTAGCAAAAGAAAGAATGGGAATGTTTACTATCTACTTATAACTTTAAAAAACTGAAATAAAAATATGAAGATAGTCATTTAGAAATTACATAGCATAATTTTTAAAATCAACTGACTTGCATTAAATATATAAAGATTATTTTTTACAAAATAATTAAATACCGAGAAAACCTAATATAACCTTAAAATTAATCCATATGGGGAAAATTTCACTAAGAATAGCTAGGGACATAAACCAACTTTCACTGTGTTATAAAAAACCATACAAGACTATTTTAATCAAAAGTGTCATTTTTAAGTGAAAAAGGTAGGCACAATCATGCTAAAACAACAAATACTTACTTATCATAAACATAGAGTACTGCAGTAATATTAATATCACTGTAGGAACCACAATTAAACCAAGTCCACTGGCTTTCTTTGCTGAATATTCACCTATTAATAAAGATAAATAATATTTAAAATATTTTTATACATACTTCCTACTCCACAAAAAGTCAAAGTACTTAATTTATTAAATGTATTTATAGTAATACTACTCTTATAAACTGTAAAATGTTTAAAAATATGTGCTTCCCCCCAAACTTCACACAAAACAAGTGACTACTGTTTTATTTAAAACCAAACTTAAGATATCTAAATGTCACCATCTAAGTCTCAACATGCCAAAACCTTGAATTGGCTTTGCTTCCTTCTTAACTACCTTGGGGCCTCTCTTACCAATCCCTTAATCTGCTGTATTTAATATGTCCCAAAGTCAGAATAGTTATTCTTTCTAGATGCCTTCTGAATTCACCTCCTTCTTCCCCACATTCTCACCGACTCCAGCTGCAAACAAAGCTGCCAAATTTATGTTCCTAAACATTACACCCATACTGTATCCTGCTCAAAAAACAATGACTTTATATAGTCTACGTGTTAAGCCCCAGCCTGTCTTTGCTGTTCTTTCCATGTGCTGCGTACCCTCATGCCCCACCCTCCAAATGCAAATGCTGTTTCAGGTCAATTTGTTTCCCACAGTTATTCCCACATCCATGTCTTGGCCAATGAAGTTTGCCTCTGCAGTGGGTTGAATGGTGACCATAAAGATAGGTCTACCTCCAGAGTCTGTGAATATTAATTTATACAGCCAAAGAGTAAGTATTCCATTATATGGCAAAGGATACGAATAAATTTAGGATCTTCAAGGAGGGAGCTTATTCTGGACTAACCAGGTGGGCCCTAAACCCAATAAGTGTCTTTGGAAGAAAAAGGCAGAAGGATATTTAACACAGGAAATTGGAGTTATGTTGCCACAAACCAAGGAGTTGCAAAGACTGCCAGCAAACACCAGAAACTAGAAGAGGCAAGGAATGGATTCTCCCCCTTGAGTCTTGGGAGGGGAGGGAGTATACCCATGATGATGTCTTTATTTCAGACCTAAGGTCTTCAAAACTGAGGGATTTGCTCTTGTTTTAAGACACCCAGTTTGTGGTAATTTGCTATAGCAACCTAAAAACTACTATTCCACCCCACCCCCAGCAATGTTCTCAACCTTATTGATCCTGACCTCCCTCCCAGTAACCGTGCATCTTACCTGGGACCAAAAGGATGGCTCCAATGATGACAAATGCAGTGAGCACTATTCCGGCAACAAATAAAAAAATGGACTTCTCCCTCGGAACACTGGAACTATATTTAAGTGCTTAAAGAAACAAAAACAAAAATAAAAATAATTCCATGAACTCAACCCAAGAAGTGAAGGCATTTCTGTCACTTAAAAAGTACAGCAACAAACTGACAACTTCCTAGAAATGAATAGCCCTTCTGGAACAACTCCTTCACATCGCGTCAAGACACCTCAAACTTTTTCCTTAAGAAGTCAATGACAACAGTCATGACAGTATAAATACGGATGCTGAATTTGTAGGTGATGCTCGTATCCCCCTACACTTTATAGATAAGTCATGTACCTTACATTAGGCTTTCCCAGTTAACATTTAGGGTCAGGTAAGTCTTCGTGGGGGAAGGGGGCTGCTCTGTACATTAGAGAATGTTTCGTAGCATCCCCACCTCCCTACAAACTACATGCCAGAGCACTCAACACCACCCCAACTCCACGTTGTATCAATCAACAATGTCTCCAGCCAGTGTCAACTGTCCCCTGAGGAGTAAAACTGCCTCAGGTTTACAACTGGTATAGATAATGCTTACGGGAAATAATCGACTAATTAGTAATACTGAGAAAAAGAAAACTTTGTTCCAGTTTACATAAAATTAGTAAAGCATCTGGAAATCTAGATATTATGTTTTTAAAAAGTAGAATAAACATTGGACAAATCACACACTCTAGAAAACCTAAGGGGAGGAAATGCTTAAATTGTTCAATTAAAATATTTTCTTAAAAATATACTATAAGTACTCAACAGGAGTCATTATGCACATTATTGATTTTGGTGCTAGCTCTATTGTCAAGAATCTGGTACCTTCCTGAAAGAATAATGTAATGGATAAGCCTAATAATATTATTTCTTTTACTGTATCTTCACTTTTTGGGTTTTGTTCTGATTAATATTAAAACTATTTTTTTTTACAAAAAAAAGTTGTTAAAAGTAACCTAAAAGCAGACTGAGTAACAGAGAGAAACAGTGCATGATTGGAATTCTGTTTGGTTCCATCCAGGCTATTAATCCTGAGGGGGCAAATTTTTTAAAATGTTATATTTAGCATTAAATTTGTTCCAGTAAAATGACAGGTCAAATGCAGTATGAATGACAAATAACCCCCTAAATGACTACGCCAATACCTATTTGAAAGGCATTATAACTTAGGGTTATATGATAACCTATGGTAAAGTATTTGAGGTATTACACAGGCACCTGAAGATTTTCAAAAATCACTACCTACTCATATGTTAGATTGTAAGCCTCAACTGTCTTCTCTTTAGGGAGAAGATGGAGAGCTAATCAATCCTCAGTCCTGAAGATGAGCAACTGAAATTCACATTCATCAGAAAAGGGAGAAAAACCGTATGGCAAGTTCCCCAAGCTTTCGTTTGATCCATGCAGGCTTGGGACTTATCCCTCAGCCACACAAGTCACCACTATGACTCAGTCATGTCCCTGCCTTCTTATCTTACAGGGCACAGGTTTTCAGACTCCCTATTTTCTAGGCTCAAACACTAGTGAGGATAAAATTCAGTGTATAGGTTACAAAAGGCACAGACATAGAAAATAAACTTTCTCTAGACATATGTGAGGTTTTCCATGTAACTCAATGCATACTGTTATCTAAACAGAGCTTGAAAATTCTACAAAAGGGTTATAAAATAGAAGCTGTTTCAAATGCCCCTCACAATTAATCAAACATTCAAAAGATACTCTTCCAGGTTTAACTGAATACATAAAAGAGCTACTAAGATTAAGCAGCAAGAATTCACCTTCAGAGGACAGTAGAAGTTCATGCAAAAAGACTGACATACCATTCTTAATAAAAATAAGAGTTTGACCCTTATATAAAATTCAACCTCTTGAGGCTTAGAAGAGTTAAAGGAAAAAAAAAATACTACCAAGAATAGCAACAAAAATAAAAGACCATAAAATACTATGATTGACAGTGTTTTACCATAGAATGACCTTTTCAAAAGCTTTGCATATAAATATTGGAGGTAGCTTTAGTTTCTATTAATTGGTTCAACTACTATTTATTTTCCAGGCTACATGCAACTCTTCCTTAAATCAAGCAACCATTTCTATTTATTGATTTTTGAAAGAGGGGAGTAAGACGTGGGGGAGAGAGAGAAACATCAACTTTGTTATTCCACTTATTTATGCATTCATTGGTTGCTTCTTGTATGTTCCCTGTAGCCCCAGCCAGGGCTTAAACAACCATTTCAAACAAATATATTAGTGAGATCCATTTATGTAAACACAGGAATGAAAGAGTATCTATCTCCATGTTTTCTTTAGTGAATCTTTTAAAAAGAGTTTCATTTGCTCATTTTCTTTGCTCACAATGGCCACATTTTGGCACATCCCACAGCAAGTGGGGAGACAGTATTTTGCAGCCCAGTTGTTAATTTTTTCATTGTAGCGACAGGGTTTGGAATCTAGTATAGATGCTACAGAACTCAATAATCGTGAGGATCTTTTTGTTTTTGTTGTTGATCTTTTCTTGTCCTTTAATAGATAGATTTATCCTTATTTATCAATCCTATAAAAATTTAAATGTAAACAAAGGAAATAAATTCAAGTAACTCTACAAACACTTAGCATTAAGATAAAGATAATTTAATGTGTTCTTAACAGCAGGCTCTTATCAAACTTCTTGGTATGATTTTCTAGTTGCTTGGTAAGGCAGTTTATATACTGTAATTTTAAAAATATGCATGCTTTAAAAGATTCCCTTCAGCTAAAAGTACTGAAATCAATACAAAAAAAAACAAATATTAGAAATAACAGTATTTACACTTTTTAAATACTTTGTAAGCATCAGTTTAGTGTTAGAACAAAATTTAGAGGGAGGTACAGAGAACTCCCATACCTTCCCTGCCCCTGTACATATATGTAAGTCCTCCATTACCAATATCACTCACCAGAATGGCACGTTTTTCACCAAGAATGAACCTACACTGACACATCATGATTACCCAGAGCCCGTCGTTTGCCTTAGGTGTTGTACATTCCATGGGTTTGGACAAATGTAAAATGGCATACACCCATCACTACAGTATCACACAGAGGATTTTCACTGCCGTAAAAATCCTCTGTGCTCTGCCTATGAGTCTCCCCCTGTGCCCCGCTGCTAGCAACAGCCGGTCTTTTCCTTGTTTCCACACATCTGCCTTTTCCAGAATGTCTTATAGTTAGAATCATACAGCATGTAGCCTTTTCAGATTGGCTTCTTTCACTTAGGCATATGCAGTTAAGGTTTCTCCATGTCTTTTCATGCTTGATAGCTCATTTCTCTTTATCTGGATGTATCACAGTGCATTTATCCACTCACCTACTGAAAAACGTCTTGGTTGCTTCCAAATTTTGGCAATCATCTATGAGCTGCCATAAATATCCATGTGCAGATTTCTACATGGACATAAGTTTCAACTCCATTTGGATAAATACCAAAGAGCACAACTGATGGATCATCATCCAAAATAGTATATGTGATTTTGTAACAAACTGCCAAACTGTCTTTCAGAGTAGCTGCACCATTCTGCATTCCCACCAGCAATGAGTGAGAGGTTTCTGTTGCACCACATCCTCACTAGCATGTGGTATTTTAGTTACATTTTTAAACCATATAACCAGAACTTATAACCTCAGTGACACCTGACACAAGCATACCAAAAATATTGGGAGGCAATACTATATTTCTGTCAAGAAATTCAGAATTCTAAGGTTTCCCTTTTTTTATACCATCTATAAAATATTTGATACCATTTATAAATCTAGCCAGCTACTTTTCAGAAATGAGCTAGGTTGCTTCATTTGTTTGTTCTACAAATATGTACTGTGTAGCTACAGTGTAGTTGGCCCTTTCATTGTCCATCTCAACTAAATCAAAATACAAGTAAATTACTTTGTTCAAGAATTGATTGAGCACCCACTGTGTGATAATTAACTATTCTAAGTGCTGCCTCAAGACCCTTATGTTCTAATGTGTGAGTAAGTATGTGTGTTTGGGGCGGGGGAGAAGTGAAGGATGGGAAGTGTTTCTCCCAGATCTTCCTCTTCAGTTAAATAAAAAAGTATGGGTCTATTCCAGCCTAAGAAAGTCCCTTTACGTAATTCATTCATGTGAATGAAGAAGTGGCATGTCCCTCTAGTCACGTGAAGAAACACCTAATGTTGAAAATAGATACTCCAGTAGGGTTTTCTCCTTTCCTGGTCACTGATATAAAGCACATGTAAGATAGAATGCAGGTTGTGGTTATGGAGCAACTAGAGGTCGATGTTCAGATCAAGTAATATCTATCATCTTAGTTTTCATAATACTCTGAAGACAGAATTTGATAAGTTCATATAGGCTCACACAGACCATAGCTCTGATATACATGAATTTCAGTTACCATGATGTAGCTAAATAATACAAGTCCCCTAAAATTACAGTTCAGATTTCAGTACCATAATATATTGAGTCAATGCCTAAAGTGCAAACTTCATTGCCATCTGTTTAGTCTACAAATCACAACATAAATAACAGACGTGTAGCATGATCAGTGACCAATCTTGTCACTTTTTTCAAAGACTGTTGGGGATTGGTCACTGTACATCTATTATTCACCTCATGCATGGACAGCAAAGCATATGCTGCGTTAGCTTCTGTTTCCTGGTGATAAACCACTGTGACATTTACAATGGATAATCCAAAGAGGAAACTGGGCAATAAAGATGAAAGAGCAAAGAAATGAGAACTGATAATGCTGGAAGTGAAATTCGAATAGAACATAAATGACATTACAGAAGAATGAGCTGACCGTGGGAATGTCAACACTACTGCCATTTCAGAGACTATATATGCAGCCAGAGAAACTTCATAAAAGTGAGTGTATTGGCATAAATTAGGACAGTGAGGAGGCAGGGACACAAAGAATAAAGATGCCCCATAAGAAGTGACTCTGGCAAAAACTTCACATGAAAGGACCTCTTAGAGGTCGTCCATGACACTGAAAATGCACAGGATAAAACCCTGGAAGCTGAGCTGAAC